ATTTCACTCGAAATGACGCCGGGTACCTACATGTAATGCCCCCAAAACCTCTGCCCTTGAAACATACATGTCCACAACACGAGATATCAACACTTGTACAACGCTGATGTGACGTACAAAGCCGCTAGATTATTCATAACTTACCTTTGACGTCCAAACCCCAAATAACCTACCCATTATAATAAAGATACATGTACCACATCCTACATGTAAGTTCTAATTATAACCTGTTGTCCCCTATATGGTGTACCTGTCACATATACTTCTCGACGAGGTGATGAGACTTATCGTTTGTATAATCGGATATATGGTTTGATACCGTTTGAATCTTATCAGCAAGCTATCTCACAGCGTGTGATCATGTAGACGTGCACCAAGAAATGTCAAGATTAGATTTCGGTAGTATGGACATACATACCGTGATGCGCCACCTAGTGACGATACTCTCCCTTACAGCATCTAGAGCCTGTATCTCTGCGACTGCGTGGTGAGGGGCCGTGTGGATTGCCACCAGAACAAAATCGTGCACACCTGCAAATGTAAAACAAACCAATTGAATCTTGTCAATTTTAACTTAAATTTACATTGTTACGTAAATCAAATGTAATTTATTTGAAGGAAAGTCATTCTTATGTTGTGGTAGAACTACGTAGAGCAATAAGCCTCACCTAACCATGAATGTTAGATTTACATGCTAGTAATTTATAATAAAAAAACATAGATAAAGCTATAGTTCAGTAGCGAGTAGGTTCGAGATTCACCTTGCCCTAATGTGCCTACAGTCACGTAAATAGTCGCGTCTAGTGTGGGTACTCAGCCCTATCTTCCCATGGCAGTCCTGACCACAGTGAGGGCACAAGTAATGTTGTTTTTCTACGGAGCGGATTTCTGGGTAAAGCCGTTTAAATGCATCCCAGATGTTTTAGAGACCGGTTGCGCAAGGCGTAGCCTGATTGGTCAAGAAAATATGGTCTGACTGGAGGTAGCGTCCCCTATCGCTTTCTATCTGAACGCACAAGCGAACGGCCCAACTCGATCGACCATGTACGGGGACAACGTCTCCAACGATGTGCATCAGGGTTATATAACCCCACACGATGCTAGAAAAATTACAGTTAAGTGCAAATATGAAATTATGGGGAGGGGCTGGGTGGGGTTTTAAAAAAATTAAACAGTTGTGTTCCAGCCAAACTTACCTCTCCGCATTGTCATTGGTTCCTCGTATTGTTATTAAGCAAGGAAATCCGCATAGTATAAAAGCTGTTTTTGGCATGCATGGCAAAAAGTGAGGTATCTTTTGATCTTAGCTTCACTAGTAACCATTCTAAGTATACTAGTAACCTGACTTAACCCTAAACAGTACACCTGGGGTCCGCGCGGACCCCAGCACTATATATTCTGTAATATCTTTTTTGTTTTTAAAGATTTTTTTCTGAAATTTTAGGTAATTGTCACCCACTAAGTTGTCTCTCAATACAGTGCAGAAAACTCCGTTTCTACCATTTATAAAAAAATTATATCTGATTTTCTTTTGGGGTCCGCGCGGACCCCAGCCGGCTTTCGATCATAATGGATACACTGGCGTTCTTATACATTACCTTATTTCCGTTTTTACATGTTTTATGCACTCATCGTATGTCTACTACGTTTTCAGGGAATGGTGTAGTAATAGAATTAAATTTTAATAACTTTGGTGTAATTATGACATCATATGACGTCAGAGCTAATAATATAGTCCGCCATATTGGATTTTGACCAATGACGTCATCAAATTAGCATATTCTATGCATATTAAATGATTTAACTTATATTTAATTATGTAAGATGTTATTAATGTTGGAAAAGAAGTGTAATTTAATACAAAAGTCAGAAAATTTTTATGTTTAAACCAAAATTACTTCTATTTTCAAAAAAACTGCCTGCTAGAAACCCGTTGCCATGGCAACACAAAAAAACATCAATTTACTAGTATTAAACTAACATGAACTTTTTGCCAGAGACATTTTAGGAAAGGTCTCCAAATTTGATACTTCTAGCGCAAGCCGTTTAGCCGCTATCTGAGATCAAAGTTGGGCCTCAAAAGCCCCTTCAGTGTAAAATGGGTTTAAAAATCGAGTATTTCTTCTTGTTTTCTTTTCTTCACCAAAAAATAGAAAAAGTTCAAAATGTATGATTTTTGTATGTAATGTGGACACAGAGGTTCCCACATCAGTTTGCAAAACAATTGAGCTGGTAGCATGTTGATAATTTCTGAAAATTAGCAAAAAACTGTTCTGGGGTCCGCGCGGACCCCAGGTGTACAGATTAATCAGTCCGGGAAGGCGTACTGTTGAGGGTTAAATATATAAAATAAAGGCAAGTAGTTACGTCTTACTAACCTTTTTTACTACTTACTTGTTCGAGATGAGGAGAAGCGGACGATGAACGGTTCTCGCTCGAATGTGTCAGTCCCCAGTGCCTCGTCTCCGTCATCATAGTGATAGGAGTTGGTCACCGTCAGGCCAACGTCCGTCCTGTAACGTAGGTAAGCATATATTTTACCTCCATGAAAAATGAGAGTAGTTTTTGTCTCTATGTGTTTGTGTGTGTGTTTCCGCAGGTTGTCCCAGAGTGAGAAAGTCTTTAATCATTTCTAAATGTGGTCCACTGCCTTCACAGGTGTAAGTCGTTACATGATCTCCTCGACAGCTGCTGCCCTTGAGTGATACAGAAGATTGCATCAAACAATTTAACAAGAGCCTTTTGTTCAAGAGACCCTCCTCTAACATGGAAAATGAGAAGAGGATGCAATAATAAAAAATATAAATAAAAAGATTAAAAAGAGTCTGAGATTCTTTTTTGAAGACTTGTAACAGCATCCGAAAGGCGTCGTTTTTAGCTTGCACTGTAAATAATTATCCATTGGTACTTATACCAATGTGTGTATGCGCTTACTATGATCTATGCTCAGATACAATAAAAATTTGAAACTTTTTAGGAGGGTCTTTGGAAAGGTCTTAATGATAGAGATTACTAGATGTGAATTACAAGGGAGAAATTCAACCTATATGAAGTAACGAAGGTTATGGATTTTTTTCAGTATATTGTTACATTTGCAGAAAACTGATTACTATCTTCCTTTTTTTACGTAAGATAATGTAAACTTTGACTGTGTTTAGAATATTAAAACACAATCAAACCTGTAGAAGAAAGCATATTGCTCCTTGCTTGTCGTCCTTCCCAGCCGGTCACTTATCACCATGTCGTAGTTCGCAGTACCGGGACTTTGGGATTCACGCGAGTACAGAAAAAAAACTGATTATTAATTTTATTACCACACACTATTGGGCACATGTACAGTACTCTGAAGTGCTATCATTGGTTTTGGGCACTTGAATTAAAGATTACAATACATGTTGCTTGATGTTATTGTCATATGGTTACCGCCAATTGAATGTTTTATCGTCATTGTTATATACAAGAAAATTAGTAAAATATTCTCAAAGCAAATCTTTTGGTAGCTTCAGTGCAGTATCAATTTGGCAAGGCAGTATTAAATTCGTTGGTGAAAAAAAAGAAGCCCCTTAAAACGCCTCAAATATGTGACAAATTAGCCTAAGCCTCTGCTAGGAAAGTAAAGTGGAATACCATCAATCAACTGTTTTTATATTGCATTATTGTATTTTTAACGTGTGGTAATTTTTAATGTAAACTAGATATGTAACGAATAGGTTTTTATCAGATGTAAAGAATCTTTACCAAATAGCCAATCTATAAGGGCATTTTGTGTTGTGTTCTGATGCCTTCCCAATTCAGCCAAATATGGCTGCTTACAGACTTTTGTTTGTACCTTTTGTATACATGTAAGACACAAATAAACCAGTCTCTCTCTCTCTCTACCATGAGAACAAAATGAAATAAATAAATAAACGCTAGCTTCACCTGTTGACCCTGCTGAGTAAGTCCACAATGGCGGTACCAGTGCTGTCACGAACCTCCTGGATCACAAGGATGTCGTACCTCTGGCAGATCTGTGGAAGCATACGATGGGAAATGTATCTATCACAATATGCGTTATCAAGAATCATACCTCGGCACCGTTATATACGGTCCATCCATATCCAGTAACGTACACTTTCTTACATACTCGAAGGCTTTTGTATCCCAAACCGTGCCTATATCTAGCTCTATGCGTAAATGGGTTAGAGTCAGTCGTTGTTTTGGACAGCCTATGCGTATGCAATAACGTAGATTTGCCTCAGGTACGACTAAGGATAAGCGTGGTCTATATGTAAAACCATGGCTGAGCATGGTTCTGGATAAAGCACAGTTCTGGATACAACAGATATCATATAGAAACGTCTAAATGCCAATCCCGACAGAAATAGAGCTAGGCAGGCAAGTTTATAGACACGATAAAAGCCATTTACACAAGATGTAAATGCACGCAATACAGAGTAGTTAAAATAAAATGAACATCTCTATAAAGCAATAGACCATGGTAAGGAGCTTCCAATACTAGGCCATAGTAGATTTGGATGACTTTAGCAAACAAATTGTGGATAAAAAAAAATAGGTTATCAACGAACGGGTGAGAAAGTAACATTTGGTTAAACAATTCAGAAATATATTTATAGCCATGATATCATATGAAGGGTCATTATACAGGCAGGTACCGATTGACTGATGATGTCATATGAAGGGTCATTGCACAGGCAGGTACCGATTGAACGATGATGTCATATGAAGGGTCATTGTACAGGCAGGTACCGATTGACTGATGATGTCATATGAAGGGTCATTGTACAGGCAGGTACCGATTGAATGATGATATCATATGAAGGGTCATTGTACAGGCAGGTACCGATTGACTGATGATGTCATATGAAGGGTCATTGTACAGGCAGGTACCGATTGACTGATGATTTCATATGAAGGGTCATTGTACAGGCAGGTACCGATTGACTGATGATTTCATATGAAGGGTCATTGTACAGGCAGGTACCGATTGACCGATGATTTCATATGAAAGGTCATTGTACAGGCAGGTACCGATTGACTGATGATGTCATATGAAGGGTCATTGTACAGGCAGGTACCGATTGAATGATGATGTCATATGAAGGGTCATTGTACAGGCAGGTACCGATTGAATGATGATGTCATATGAAGGGTCATTGTACAGGCAGGTACCGATTGAATGATGATGTCATATGAAGGGTCATTGGACAGGCAGGTACCGATTGAATGATGATGTCATATGAAGGGTCATTGTACAGGCAGGTACCGATTGTATGATGATGTCATATCAAGGGTCATTGTACAGGCAGGTACCGATTGAATGATGATATCATATGAAGGGTCATTGTGCGGGCAGGTACCGATTGACTGATGATGTCATATGAAGGGTCATTGTACAGGCAGGTACCGATTTACTGATGATGTCATATGAAGGGTCATTGTACAGGCAGGTACCGATTGACTGATGATGTCATATGAAGGGTCATTGTACAGGCAGGTACCGATTGACTGATGATGTCACATGAAGGGTCATTGTACAGGCAGGTACCGATTGACTGATGATGTCATATGAAGGGTCATTGTACAGGCAGGTACAGATTGAATAATGATGTCATATGAAGGGTCATTGTACAGGCAGGTACCGATTGACTGCAGAAATTAATAGTGGAGTATATTGCACAAAATCTCTTGTTGCATCGTGGGCGAAAGTTTATCGTGCTGACAAAATTAATTCTACCCAATGCAATCAGAACAATTGCTTTAAACTTAAGTATAAAATGATTAGAATAAAACAAAATATGGAATAAATGCATAAATTATCGAAATAAATGTATGAATTACAATGTACTTACCCTCACAAGCATGTCCGCAATATTCGGGTCAGACATTTTTGCCGTTCCAAATATTTGTATGTTGAATGCCCCGATCTTTAAAGCTTCAACACCGGCTAGTGCGTTGAGACTCAAGGATAGAGTCAGGATGATAGCAAACAGCATCATGGCTAGTGAAGAAAAGTTGGAAATTGTCCTTATCTTCATTTAATCTGTCACGTTATGTATGTTATATCTAGATATTAAGACAAATGCAGACTTTTCGTTTTACCTCGGACGGATTATATAGTTTTATTCTTTAAGTGCTGTTTAATAATAAACCGCAAGTTAATCTTTTTACGTAAACGCTATATTTAACATACATGTAAGCAGCAAATTAAAGCTTTGTTGCTTACTTGTACTAAACAAAATTGCCGAAGACCACAATGATGTGAAAAATAAACGTAACATTTAAAAAATTGAAATGGGCAGTCTTAGCATCTGAGCATTCCTCTATGGACAAAATCTCAATATTGAGGCCAATTTCTTGTAAAACGAATTAATGTAATAATGTATTTATCGGAGAGTATTTAACAGAATTTTGTCACACAAAATGCCAAGATGCCAACAAAATATTGGATTTAAAGAATATATCCACAGAAACATAACCTCAGTATTTAGATTTTAATTTCTAGTCATTACCAACTGGTACCTGGAGAAGTTCTGTCAGAACTACTACTAGTCGACCGATGCAACAGTAGTTGCTGAATCTAAGGTCTAAGTCTAAGAACCAACTGTCACATAAACATACCATTGTTATATTATATATACCTTTTGTAATCACCATATGGAAATAAACACAGAGAGAGGTACGAACAACGATTCTTACACGTAGCTGACATGGTTAAACACATAAGACATGTAGTTAACTTACTGATATACAGAAATTGTCACGAACTGCTCCAAACTACATTCCCTTACCTTCGAGTCGTTCCTCGAAGGACTCCTCTTGTATCCGATGACTCAACTGTAAAGCGGCAACCCCCTTTAACCTGCTTAAGTTTGACACAGTGTGGGAACGTAACATACGTATGTAACATCAAACATTGCTGTTGACCCAAGGTATACATTTAGCCTGGTTATCTAACCCTAGTGTTTTATGCTCTCAACGTTTTATCGTTCAGAAAATCCAATATTTTAGCATTTTAGAGAACAATATAACAAAATTATGATTTGAGTCAGACAGTTTTCTTTATTTCAAAGTTTAAGTGTTGCTAAGGTCGAAAAATTTGCAAAAAATTCGCTTATTCAACTTCCGATATTTCTAGAATACCGCCATCTTTAAAAAATCCTTCCGACACAGATAGAGATTTTTGTCTTGCCTACAATTCAAAACGTTTTCGAGGTAAATTGAGTCTGTTTTTGTTGTGGTTTGTTACCTAGATTGCACGCATGTCAGGTCGTGTGAGTAGGTGCAGGGGGTAACTTATATCCCCGTAAACAACGATCTTCAAGGTCACACACGATAACGGCAGTAGCTTCGTTACGTGTTACATAATCCACGGCAGTTTATTCCAACGTGGAAGGTAAACGTTTTAGTCCTGTCGTCTAAATCCCGAAGGTAATCTTGAAAGGATAAAACATACAATCAGTCACTCACATATTGAAACTATCCTATGACATCTAAGAATTTTACCGAGGCAATTTTTAGATTTGTCTGGCAAGTTTTTGTAAATGTCAATGTTTTGGTGAGGCTTTAAATTTTTTTTTCTTGCTTTTAAGTAGTTCTGGTAAGATCTTACATGGGATTATTGCTCTTACTAGACACCAACGCATAGCTAGCGATTAGTCTGAGTTTTTGCCGTAGACATTTTGCAATATTCTGTTGAATGTCCAAACGACTCTAGACTGTACACGGTGCCTACAGGAAGCTCAGCAAACAGGCTCTCAGTTTGGTTATAAATCAGCAACTGTGCATCAAAAGGAAGGAAAAAGAGTAAAAATCACGTACCTGCTCCTCTAGAAGGAATAGCAATATAAACACCCATTAATACCGCGGTTTATTGCAACGTTGACGGTTAACATTTCAGTCCTGTCTTCTTAATCCCAAAGGCAAGCTTAAAAGGCTAAATCTTACAATCCGCTACATACATATTGAAAATAGTCCTTAGAATTCTACCTTCGCACTTTTTTAACATCCAGATCTGTCTGGCAAGTCATATTATAGTTTTGGTGCGGCTATGAAGTAGTTTTCTTGCTTTGAAGTAGTTCTGGTAAGATCTTACATGGGATTATTGTTCTTACTGTTACATCAAATCATAGCTACCGATTAGTCTGTTTTTTTCGTAGCCATTTCGCAATATTCTGTTGTTGAGGTTGATTTGGAGACAGGACCTGAGACTTTGCTGTCAACATTGGACCAAACTAAGGTACTCCAGCGTGTTTTACGAGTGTTCCTAAAAGAGGAGCAGGTACGTGACTATATATTTTTCTTCTACACCGCCCATTATAAATGTGTAGCCTAGATACCAGAACATAGCCAGGGGCAGGACACAGGCTAGCCCCATAGGCTCCAAAAATGTTACAATAGACACCCCTTCAGATATACTATAAGTAACAGGCCGACCTGTCCCTTGAATGCTCATTATTTGTGTATAACTCTCACCAATGAAGCAACAGGGACTATTTTTTTTTACCTCTGTCATGATTGGTTGAACATCCCAGCTGTACATGTATCTATATCTTTAAAATTTAACCTTGAAAAGGGGCCACCAGCAGACCTTGTCTCGTTTGGTTAGAACTTTGAGGCTAGCTCAAGATCTCAGTTTAACAAACAAGACAGCCAGTTGTGCACTACTTTTAAACTACGTTTTGCTGATATTTTTGAAAAAAATCTAATACATTGTTAATATAAAAAAATGCCAGTTAATGACTGTTGAACTGCATTTAGCCATTGATACGCTACTGCTAGCATGATACCTGTTTTTTTTAGTGGACACCTTATTTTTCCTTACCTTGACATGGATTTGGCAAAGAGCTGGCCAGATCCTAGCTTGAGATATAAATTAAACCTCCATGTAATTATTCTGGGATCCGGGCTTGTCGCTTCCCCCAACCGAAATGGGGAGGTATAGGGCTTTCCTTTGATCGTCAAGGTCACTCTAACATGCCCAAATGCTGTTGAGTGATAATGTCTGGATGTGTCCTTGTTTTTCATAGATATATTACATCATCGTTGTAACTGCTTGTGATATCCGATAGCCTGCCCCTTATCACCAAGGTCACTCCATCAGTTTAAATTTCGAATGTTGTTTAGTGATAACGCTATGTCGGAATGTGATGCTTTTCATTCCTTTATTTCAGCAATAAGTCGCCCATATAAAGGAAAACATACAGATAAAAATACACATAATAACAACAGTTAAAATATGGCTATGAGTTCAGACGGGCCCAGAAATTGCAAAAGAATCTGTAGCGGATCATTACATCGGATTTGAGAACAGATTGGATGATGTTATTTGAGGAGTTGTATAGACGGGATATGAAAGAATAGCATTGTTTGCGCCATGTAGGGTATTCTTTTAAACAAACATTTTATTTTATTCTTCCTTGTATTCCTTTGAAGAAGTCTTCAAACCTATAAAAGAAGAGATAGCTTATAAGGATTTTTTGTAGAAGGGAATATCCCTACTTTAACAAAACAACAGTCTGAAGTATGTGAAGGGCTAGTTAATGGTAGAGAACTTTGGAAAGCAATTTCAACATTTAAGTATGGTAAATCCCCAGGTGCTGATGGGATTACGATTGAAGTTTACAAGGAATTTTTTTAATTTATTGAAACAGCCTATGTTGGATTGTTATAATACTGTGTATGACTTAGGACAACTGTCAGATACACAAAAGGAGGGTGTAATTTCATTACTTTTTTTCATTACTTTTGAAACAAGACTCATCCGGAAAAGATAAAAATCCAGTAGTTTTAAGTAATTGGCGACTACTGACCTTATTACCATGTCATACAAGAATTTTGTTAAAATGCATCGCACTAAGGATGAAGAAAATGATACACAAGATTATACATATGGAACAGACTGTTTTTTTGTCTGGGAGATCTATTAGTGAAAATATAAGGAAATAAAAGAAAAACAAAATATTGAAGGTCTTATATTTATTACTGATTTCAAAAAGGCTTTGGACAAAATTAGAATAGAGCTTGTGTTAGAGGCATTGGATATTTTTGGCTTTGGCGAGTCCTTAGTGCGATGGATTTCCATTATGTATACCAATATAACTAGCAGAATTAGTAATTTAGGTTTTTTGTCTGAACCATTTAGGCTTTACCGGGGGTTAGGACAAGGTTGTCACCTTATTTGTTCATCTTAGCAGTAGAATTGTTGGCAATTAGAATCAGGGCGAATGTCAGTATTGAAGGTCTAGAATGTAGAGGCGTAAAGAGTAAATTATAACAATTTGCTGATGACACAAATTTTACTCTTAGGCCTTCTCAAAGTACTTTGGAGGCATTGTGTATTGATTTAAAAAAACTTTTCCACAATTTTGGCTTGATTCCAAATTTTGACAAATGCATAATTTTAAGATTGGGGCCACTAAAAGATACGGATTTTCAATTACCTTGTACTTTTCCTGTAAAGTGGTCAGATGGATCTGTTGATCTATTGGGAATTCATATTCCCAAATATATGAAAACACTTATGGAAGATAATTATAATAGAAAGTTACAGAAAGTAGATAAAATATTGCAACCTTGGAAAGGAAAGACTCTAACTTTGCTGGGAAAAGTAACATTGATAAATACTTTGATTGTTTCCCAATTTACATATCTCTTTATGTCTCTGCCATCCCCTGACAAGGTTTTTTTCCAAATGTATGAAAAAAAGTCTTTAGATTTCTCTGGTCTGGTGGTCCAGAACGGGTAAAAAGGAAAATTGTGTATAACTTGTATGAATATGGTGGACTTAAACTTATTAATTTAGAAGCTTTTGATTTATCGCTTAAGGCAGCATGGATACCTAGATTATATTTAAACGACAAGTGGGTTTGTAGAGAGTTGTTGAATTATAACTTACTCTTTAGCTATAGTATTTTCCAACTCATCCAACTTACTGAAGCTCATTTTCATATGGTTATCCCTAGACATGCTTTTCAGAATACTTCTTTGAAGAGGTAATGTTAGCTTGGCTGAAGGCTCAGCACAAACCTCCTGATAACAGATGTGATGTACTGAGACAATTGCTGTGGTTTAATTCAAATATACTTATTGATGGTTTACCCTTTTTTGGAAGACCTTCAGCCAAAGGAAAATATTCTTTATTAATGACTTATTGGACACGGATGGATATTTTTTATCATATACAGCATTGACTGAGAAATATGGAAGATTCTGTAATGAGCTTCATGTATTTACAGTTGTTATTAAGTATTCCTCAGGAATGGAAACAGATGATGTATGGTATTTAACATTGTGTAACTGTTCTTAAGCCTGGTATAAGACATTCAAAGTGGTTAAAAGGTGCGAAGATTAATTATATAGATTTCATTTGGTAGCAAGAAACTTGTTGATTTCCATTGTAAAGCCCAGAAATATTGGATAGATCTTTTTAACATACAAATACAATGGGATTTGTACTACAGTTTAATTTATAAAACAACTATTGATTCTTATGTAAGAGTATTCCAGTACAAATTGTTACATAACTGTCTTGCTCTCAAAAATAAGTTATATAGATGGAATTTAGCAGAGGACTCATTATGTTCCTATTGTAATTTAGAAAAAGAAACACCTTTACATTTTTTTTGCCATTGTACCACTCTTGTGAAATTTCTGGGGGGTGTAGAATTTTGGATACAACAACATATTGATACAGAAGTCAAGCTTACACCCAGAATGATCATACTAGGCATTTCAGTTAATCATCCTATTATCCTTAACATATTGTTATTGATATTTAAGCTCTCTATATATAACGACAGTTTAAGTTTGTCACTATTAAGGGCTTTACAGGTTATGTTAAATACTATCACAAATTAGAATATGTGATAGCACAAAACTGTGGGAAAATGGATAAACA